CTGGAGCCCCAGGGACACCTCAAGGGATTACAGACGGGGCAGGAAAGATGCTGCCTTGGGCTTTTCCTCTGCTGCTGTGATGGAGGGAGCTCCTGGCTGTGAGTCAACGCTGTAGAGAGAGAGCTCTGCCCAGGAGCAGCTCCTCTGCCAAGCACAGCAGGGCTGAGGGCACTGCCTGCAGGCACCGAGAGGAAAGGTTTGAGGCCAGAAGGGCTTAAAAGCATTCAGGAATGGGAGAAAGCTGAGAGGTCACTGTAGGAGAAATCTTCACAGCCTTTGACTTGGTCAATATCTGGTTGCAGGGCGTTGACTCTGCAGTTGCTGGAGGGATCTCCAGAAGCTGCACAACCCACAGCCCATGGGATCCGTAAGTACAACTCTCACAGTTTCTCTAGTGTAGAGGAGAAGGAGAACGTGTGGAGCAGCATTTCCCTGCTGCAGGGGCAGAGGGACAGGGCATGATGTGTCTCTCTGCTGCAGAGAAGTTTCCTGGAGCAGCCTCCTACAGCTGGCATAGCCCCTGTCTCATGTGAGGTGTCAGGAAGGCTGCGAAGGATCAGATGGCATTAAGAAGGATGTACTCAAGAGCAGGAAATCCCCAACACATCATCAAAGGGCCAGGACATGTTGGCTGCCTTCTCCCAGGGAGGGCTGCAGGGCTGTGAAGGTGGGGGTGCAGCCGGGGGTGCCCAGGGCTTCCTTCCGAGCAGGGTCCCTGTGTCCCAGGGAACTGTGTGCTGGGGCAGGGACTCTGCCACCTGCCAGGGTCAGCTCTCAGCCTGCCCGGGGAGCTCCCCACGTTGATGCGGAGAGAAGCTGTGGGTGAAAGCAAGGATTCCTGTGGCAGGGACTCTGCCGCCTGCCAGGGTCAGCTCTCAGCCTGCCCGGGGAGCTCCCCATGGCGATATGGGGACAAGCTGTGGGTGGAAGCAAGGAGTCCTGGCAGAGCAGGGCAGGGTCCTTCTAGTGTGGAGAAGGCACTACATGGGTCAGGGCCGTTTGCAGCTCCAGGTCATCTCCAGGATGTTTCCAGGGGCTTTTGAAGACACACAAGAAGGCTGGAAAGGGCCACCTGGAAGGAAAGGGTCTTTCTGTGGTCTGTGTTTTCATTCTCCTGTTGTCCTTGCAGAGGAAATGGTAATGGACCTGTCAGGTTTGGACAAGAGGAGACTCCTAAAGCATTAGTCATTAATCGGGAGTTCTTCAAGAAGGTGATTAAGTCACCTCCCCCACCTCAGACTACACAAAGCCCTCTCACTTCTGTGGTCTCCTCATGGTCCAGCTGATGTGCTCTTGAGGACTTTCAAACGCAGAGATGGCCCTGGGCAGTGCCCTTCTACCAGGAGGGGTCTGCAGGGCAGAGCTGAGCACACAGCGGGTGGTGTGGGGTCTGTGAGCACTGACAGGGAGGAGACTTGGGGACCGAGAAACAGCTCCCAGCACAGAGGGACAAGCCCAGGCAGAGGAGACACGGGCAGGAGGTGAGATGAACAGGCTGAGAGCAATGGCTTGGAGGGGGAATTTGGACACCTCCCTGTCAGCCGTTGAGTGAACAGGCTTTCTCCTTCAAAAGCCCCCTGGTCTTCTTTGCCACTTCGAAGAGCCTCTGCCCTCAGAGCTTTGGGGTTCAGGCAGCAGCTGCCTCCTCTGCAGCCATAGCTCACACAGAGGAGACTCTCCTGAGTGCCCCTCTCTCCCTTCCTGGCCTTTGCCACCCTTGGCAGAAGTATTGGGGCATTTCTCATTGTTTTTCCACCCATCCCTTTGCTTCTCTTCTTCTTCAGGCTCCCGGGGAAATGGGGCTTCAGATCCTGCCGTGTAGATGTGTCCATGGGAGCAAGGTGTCCAGGCACCCTTCTACCCTGTGGGTTTCAGAGCAAAGCAGACCCTGGGGTGGGGAGAAAGCTGACATTCCTTTATGGACATCCTAACTTGAGGGCATCCAGAAGTGCTCAGCTCATCCCTGGGGAGAGGAGTGAGCAGGTCAGTGCTGAGATATGAGAGGGACAAGAGGAACAAATTAACCAAAAAATCATCACAGCTCTGTTCTGCAGTGGGGTGAATTGGGAGGGTCAATGCTGAGACCTCTGGGATCTCAAGGGTGGATTTCACCGGAGATCACTCCTGGTTCCTCTTTGCTCGTTGGTGCAGAGCAGGACTGAGTCCTCTGGAGCCCACAGCAGAGTTACCTGCTCCCCACTGCACCCTCAGCCAGGACAAGAGTAAGCTCAAGCAAGGGAGGTGCACAAGAGTCTTCCTGGTAGAACAGATGTCATGTGGGGGTGCCTGCAATAAATGGAATTGGTTTTGCTCAGAGAAGTGAGTCCTCACTTGTCACTGCTTTTTCATCCTTTGACAGGTCCTCAGGTTCGGGGGCAGGAAATGTCCAACGGCAGCTCCATCACCCAGTTCCTCCTCCTAACATTTGCCGACACACGGGAGCTGCAGCTCTTGCACTTCTGGCTCTTCCTGGGCATCTACCTGGCTGCCCTCCTGGGCAACGGCCTCATCATCACTGCCATCGCCTGTGACCACCGCCTCCACACCCCCATGTACTTCTTCCTCCTCAACCTTGCTGTCACTGACCTGGGCTCCACCTCCACCATTATCCCTAAAGCCATGGCCAACTCCCTCTGGGACATCAGGGCCATCTCCTACTGGGGATGTGCTGCCCAGCTCTTGGTGTTTGTCTTCTTGATTGCAACAGAGTTTTCCCTTCTCACCGTCATGGCCTATGACCGCTACGTTGCCATCTGCAAACCCCTGCACTACGGGACCCTCCTGGGCAGCAGAGCTTGTGTCCACATGGCAGCAGCTGCCTGGGGCACTGGGTTTCTCACTGCTCTCCTGCACACGGTCAGTACATTTTCCCTACCCCTCTGCCAGGGCAATGCTGTGGACCAATTCTTCTGTGAAGTCCCCCAGATCCTCAAGCTCTCCTGCTCAAACTATCTCAGGGAGGTGGGCCTTGTTGTGGTTAGTATCTGTTTAGTGTTTGGTTGTTTTGTTTTCATTGTGGTGTCCTATGTGCAGATCTTCAGGGCCGTGCTGAGGATCCCCTCAGAGCAGGGACGGCACAAAGTCTTTTCCATCTGCCTTCCTCACCTGGCCGTGGTCTCCCTGTTTATCACCTCTGGCATGGTTGCCTACCTGAAGCCCCTCTCCATTTCCTCCCCTTCCCTGAACCTGCTGGTGTCATTTCAGTACTCAGTGGTGCCTCCAGTTCTGAACCCCCTCATCTACAGCATGAGGAACCAGGAGCTCAAGGATGCCCTAAGGAAACTAATGACTGGTTGCTTTTCAGAAGCAGCAGTGAAACCCCCATCAGCTTTTGCACATCGCTCGTAATGTAACTCATTACAGGCCCACCCTGTCTTTGGTAGGTTTTTTGGCTTTGTTTCTTTCATTTTTAGCTTCTCTTGGTTGTGTTCTTGCTGTCCACAAAATTAATGAAGGGTTATTCTTTATCCTATTTCCATGTCAGTATATTCCTGTCTTGCGTGACCCAGAGACTTTTTGTAAATCAGGAGCTATTCTCTCTTTGTGTTTAAACCAAATAAAGATCCTGCACAGATGTCTTTGTCCAAGACCCCTTCTCTGTCATCTTCTCTGGAGCTGCAGAGTCAGCATCTGGGTGTGGGCTGGGGGGGTCAGTAGCTGCCCTGAGCTGGTTCCACCTCCCAGCTTGACCAGCGTGACCCTGGGCACCACAGCCCACTTGCTCTGCAGAGCAGCACCACCAGCTCAGGGGGTATGAGAAGCCTGGGGAGGGGGTGCAGGACTCCTGGCTCATCTGTGCTGCCCTAGCAGCTTTTCAAGGGAAAAATCTCCTTGGGGAGATGGGATGTCCCAGAAGAAGAGCCGGACACTGTGTGTGTCCAGGGAGACATGGAAAGACAAACCCTTTGCTGTGGGTGGCAGCTCAGAGGCTGCCCTCTCCTTGGGGCAAAAGGAGATGCCTGAGGGTCTCCTGGGCCAATTCTCTTGTGGCGTCCTGGGGAGCAAGTTTGTCACCTGGGGCTGCAAGCTGCCCGGGGTGGAGATCTCCTCAGTGTGCCAGCTGGGTGAACATTCTCACTGGCCTCCATTCGTGCTGTGGGACCACTCCCAATGGGGCTGCTCTGCTGAGTTCAGCTGGGGAGAGGGCAGGGAGGTGACAAGATCCATGGAGGGTCTGGGCTGGCTGGGCTGGCAAGTGCCCCCCAGGGGAAAACCCAGTGAACAGTTAAAGTGTGGGAGTGTGCAGGGTGGGAGCACACAGTGGTGTCCTCCCACAGCCAGGCTCCTGCAAGAGACATGAAGGACCAGCAGAGCAGGGTCTGGGCGGTGGCCGTGTTCCCTGGACACCCCGGGGAAGCTGCCCCAGGGCCATCATCACAGGCCGGCCAATGACAAGCAGTGTTTCCAGCACTGGCCTCTCATCCCAGTTCATAGAGGTTGTTTGTCTCTCCAGAGAGGCACATCGAATCACAGAATATTCATGGTTGGAAAGGACCTTTGAGATCATCCAGTCCAACCACAAAAAAACCCCACACCAAGCCAAAACAATAACCCCAACAAACCAAAACAAACAGAGCCACCCATAGACAGACACAAACCAACAATCCTGGGAACTAGAGCATGCCCTGACGTGCTACATCTACACCTTTCTTAAATGCGCCCAGGCACGATGACTCCACCACCTCCCTGGGCAGGCTGTTCCAGGGCCTGACCACCCTCTCAATAAAGTAATTCTTCCCAATACCTAATCTAAACCTCCCCTGCCACAACTTCAGACCATTTCCTCTGATCCTGTCATGATTCCCTTGGGAGAAGAGGCCAACCCCCACCTCTCTACACCCTCCTTTCAGGGAGTTGTAGAGGGCAATGAGGTCTCCCCTCAGCCTCCTCTTCTCCAAACTAAACAGGCCCAGTTCCCTCAACCTTTCCTCATATGACTTGTTCTCCAGACCCCTCACCAGCTTGATGGCTCTCCTCTGGAAACACTTCAGCACTTTCATGTCCTTCTTGTAGTGAGGGACTCGGAACTGAACACAGCACTCAAGGTGAGGCCTCACCAGTGCCCAGTACAGAGGCACGATGACTTCCCTACTCCTGCTGGCCACGCTATTCCTGATACAAGCCAGGATGCCCTTAGCTGCCTAGGGTGACCTGGACACACTGCTGGCTCATGTTCA